AGAGATGTTAGCGAATATGGATATAAAATATTCAATGTTAACCTGAGAGTACTGCAGAAAGTAACCGGGAGGAGGAGTGGGAGGGTGAGGCAAGTATGTCTTAAGAGAAAAGGAAATACCAATATGATCAGAACCTGGTAATGCAGAGTGTGGAAGACATTCGTTAATCAAATCAGGTCTATTAGTGTATACGTGATCAATAATATTACCTTTTCCGTAATATTTATCAGTGTCATTGTATCTAATTTTGAAGTTTACCAACTGGGTAATTTAGCTTATTGTACAGAGTATTATCAAATTTATCAGAAGAAGGCAAGGCAATATTGAAGTCACCGGTCAGTATAACATCACGATACTGACTAATATGTTCAAAAACACTATCAATACAAGTATGGAAATTATCAAAAAAATCTACTTTACTATTTGGAGGTCTATAAAGAACCCAAATCAGTGATTTTTTTGAGAAATGATATACTTCTGTCCACACAAGTTCGACTTCAGGACAAACTTCAATGATGGATGCACTTGAAGAGTGAACATTCTTATGTATTGCAATTAACACACCACCACCTCTACTATTTCTATCCTTGCGGTAAAGAGTGTAATCCAACAATCCAAGCTCGGCATCAGAAATGTCCTCCTGTAGCCAGGTTTCAGTTATAATTATGATGTGAGGATCTTCAGTCTCAACATGGACTAGCAGGTCGTGAATTTTTCTTATAATACTGCGAGCATTCACGTACAAAACGTGTAGGCATCTTGTGATCATGATTATAATAGAGTAGAACAGTGCTTTGTAACTAGTGCAGGACGGTGACGGTATGCTTGGTATGTCAAATCACGTATGTCCAGGAGAAGGTTGTAGTGAACAGGTTAAAAATAATATTCAATAAATCAGTCTCAAAAACAGGACAAACCAACAGGAAGACAGAATCCGAGCAAGAAGAACAGTACGCGAAAACACACCAAAATTAACAAAGGAAAACACCATAAAATTCAGTTAAAAACAATCAGTAGATCCGAAGACATCAAAAATTCCCCAAACAAATCAAATCACAGCAGCATCAAATCCTATATATTATAGTATTGATAAATTATGTAATGTCATAGAGATCCTGTAAAGTGTCAACAAATTTCATTCTGTCTCATAGTGAAAATTTGAATCATTAATAGCAATTAAATATAGGTTAGTCAATAGATAGATAGATAGAAATAGGGTTGCGACTTTTTGTGAATATTTGGGAAAATATATATTCCATCAACTGATTGAAAACTGAAGATTAAGTACAATTACTTATCAAGCAGTTACAATAACAAGTGCATTCACAATCTCTCACAACGGAGCCAGACAGAAGGAGTGATTGGGGCTATTTATTTGATTTTTAAATAAAGGTGTATTTTTAAAATTATTAAAAAAAAATGATATCTGGTATTTTTCTAAATTCATTTGCTTTAAACAAACTATAGCCCTCCTAAAAAGTAGTTTTATGGTTTACATTTTATCTTACTGTGTTTCACTATATTATTTTAAAATAAATGAAAGATAAACACATAATTCTAATAAGTATTTTAAAGACTGACGCACCTTTTAAATTAGTTCCCGCCCCGTTGGTACCATCATCATTTTATCTAGAAACGAGTCATAGGCCAGGATCGTCCCGTCCACTACACCAGCAGTAGGTGGTTAGTTTATGTTTGGCCTACCGGCCGCGCTAATCAAATTTCTCTTTGCTCTTGGGAATACAGACGGGCTGCTCCTATTTTTGGTGACATTCACTTGTTTTTAAAAATACGTAAACGTACCCTCGACCACTCCCGTAGCTTATCCAGGTATCCTTCGTCTTCAATTTTGTGTCGCAGTTGCAACAGCATGACAGCTTTTCTGTCGGCCTAGGCTAGTGGTGGACTGTTATGTTCTACTGTATTCTTTAAAATACTGAACCTCGCGTGAACCTAAAACGGTTTGCAAAACAAGCACTTTCTAGACTGCAGCTTTTCTACCTACTGGATATTGTGCGCAGAACAACAAATTTCTCTGGAATACAGCTTTTTTGGCGTTTCGGTTGGTGTTTTCTTTTCCTCCATTAATAATACCACGATATTCCACACACCGGCACGTCGTAGCCATGTCCCAACTCTCCGACTCGTCTCTACATTCGTGGCACCAAAACGAGAACCGTTTAATTGGTTGACCTTCCGTCATAACGTTCACCCTATTGCCAAATACGGCATCCTAAAAATTACGTCATGCTTGTCACGGCCAGCAGTCTGCAATCAATTTCATTCACTCTTTTACAAGTCTCACCTTCACGGTAGTTGCTAAATACAACGTTCAGCCGAGGGGGCGTGGCTTGTATATGGTGACGTCAAGCCGTCTACCAAAAAACATCACACTACACTGTGTGACCAATGTGAATTTAGCAAGGCGAGCAGGCTAGGGCTTAGCTTATGTTTTCTCTTGTGCTGCTGCTACGAGCGGGTGAGGGACGATCGAGTCCATTTTCAGACAATTGGCCTAAGTAGTATGGACGTTCATAGGTCTAGGCTCCTGGGCTAGGTCGGACCAGGAGGTCTTTTTAGTAGTCTGGTGCCTAGACCTAGATTGTGCGTCCAGCAACCCGCAGCAGTCCGTCTAGGCCTATGCCTCATTTACGTGAAGTTAGGAGCATGCAGAATCTGTTGTAAGACCCTCGCCTAGGCTCACTGAAAAATCTGCACTGAATAGGCACATTACAATACAAAATACACGACATTGGAAAGTTAATATATTTACTTAAATTATATATATAACATTCGGTTCCTTTCTTTTTTTCTGGATTATAGCCGGCAATATTGTTTTAAATAAGTGAACACTAAAAAAAAATCTGAACTTCAGCAGTCATGTAATTTTAATTTATAAGGCCCCGAGGTCCCCGACGAAAAGAGTGAACGTCGGACGTCCCTCAATATCCGTCGAAAGTGTTCCTCTTGGCTCCCCATCAACTCCCGAAAAATTGGTTTGAAAGGCTTACTTAGTCGATTTTGTACCAATATGTAGAAAATACATTACATTTTTTCTCCCAGACGAATTGAGGTTTTTCCACGACAGGGGGTGGAAAAGAAGCCAGATCTCCCCGACTGGGGCCCTGCCCCACCCCACCCGCTTCCCCTGCTAAGTACAGTGTACTATTAGTAGGGCCTAGGCCATTGAATTGTTTTCATTTCTTTCTGTGATTAAGGCCTAATCCCTACGGCTAAAATAAGACTAACTAGGCCTAGACCTATATATTATTTACTCCTTGTAGGCCCAATGAATTGATAATATTTCAGGCATCTTAATTTTTGGAAAGAAAAACACACAAGGACAACTTATTTTTTTCTTACATTGGTTGTACCATGAAGGAATTAGTTGTACGGATTGCTAGCTGAGTGATTACAGACAGGGCCCACACTTTGTCGAGGAGATTATTACAAAATATAGCGAAAGTTATCCATGACGTCAGCATACAAAGCCACGCCCCCTCGGCTGAATCCGTTGTATTTAGCATCTACCCTAATTCACATCAAAAAATTTCCTGACATAAATTGACGCTGGTGGCGTTTTCCGAAATGTGCCAATACTACAAAAAATCAAGAAATTAGAGACTTGTGGCAAGTCTAGTAAAATAGGAGTCACGCACTTTTTTAACCGAAGTGTTACTTTAAAT